CCAAAAATGTTGCGTGTTCCTGTGCAATAACAATTTTTGTTTTAAGAAAAACAAAAAAAAAATAACCAAGAAGTTTTCAAATATAATATACGTCAGTTATTATTATGTTTTAAATAAAATTATATTTTTAGTTAATTTTCATTTTTATTCAGGCATTTTTAAATTCGGAAATATTTATGAACTGGAGAAACACGTATAGCAGAGCTTTTGAGAGGAGTAAGCATGGAATTAAGTGAAATTGTATCTTCATAATTTATTATTTAATTATATTTTTGTTACACTCTTTTTTATATTTATGTATATTATTATAACTAGTTTTAATTAAAAGTTTTCAATTTATTAAAGAAATAAAAATTATATTATGTACTCCGCAAAAGAATTTTTCACTTTTGATGACTCAGAAAAAGTGAAAATGAGAATGAGCAGTAGATATATAGTGAATAAATTCCGAATACCCATGTGTTAAAGAGAGATGCAAACTTACGCACATACGTTTGTTTACATCAGTTTTTGCACAAGGCTCTTAAGAAAATGATAGAAACTTTGTTCTGTGCGCTGACAAAATTTTTTTCAGCCATGACGGTCATGTTACCGGTCAGATGACTGTCACTGTTCTTGTAGGGTAAGGTTTTGCCTATCCCTGGTCATGAGTCATGAGCCAATCATTTAATCCTGTTAGATGGAAAAAACTCACAGCACCAAAAAACATCAATAGACTATATTTGAATGACTTCAGTGACGTGAGTTTTTTTAGTTCAGTTTTCTTGTTATTTGTTTTGATTCTCACACACATTCTTATTTGAAGTTAAGAAAACTTTTCTGCACTGTGTGTATCAACAAAAATTGAGACTACAAATAAAATATATACTATATACGTACATTGGGCATGCTGCGGCATTACTTCGGCAGACAATATCATAAACTTTTTTTTATAATAAAGCATTTTGGTACCAGTTATTTCATTGGTAAGTATATGTTATGTAATTATATGCGAAAATAGTGGAAGAATACAATTAAAAAGTGTTTGTAGATTAAGTATTTTTATACTCTCGCAACCTGTTGCTACAGAGTATAATAGTTTTGTTCACCTAACGGTTGTTTGTATCACCTAAAACTAATCGAGTTAGATATAGGGTTATATATATATAAATGATCAGGATGAAGAGACGAGTCCGTCCGTCCGTCCGTGGAAACTCTAACTTGAGTAAAAATTGAGATATCTTTATAAGACGGTTGGTATTGCAGATGGGCGTAATCGGACCACTGCCACGCCCACAAAACGCCATTAATCAAAAACAAATAAATTGCCATCACTACGCTCCGCAATAAGATACAAGACTGTTATTTGGTACACAGGATGACATTAGGGAGGGGCATCTGCAGTTAACATTTTTTTTAAGTGGGCGTGGTCCCGCCCCTAATAATTTACTGAAAGCAAATGTTTTTAGAATCTCTACCTACAGTGTGAAAATAGTTGATAGCCCACCCATCATATAATATAACGGTACTGTTAAAAACTACTAAAAGCGCAATAAATCAAGCACTAAACACGCCAGAGACATTAAATTTTGTCTCTGGGATGGTATGAGATGACTATATAGAAACCGCATTCAAAATTAGACAGTGGGCGTGGCACAGCCCACTTTTAGGTGAAGACCCATATCTTGAGATCTGCTCAACCAATTTCAACCAAAATCGGTACATAATATTCTTCTCATATCTCTATATTATAGTGCGCAAATGGGCGAAATCAGATTACAACCACGATTATTTCCCATATAACAACATTTTAAATTCTATTTGATTCTTTCACTTTCCAGTATGCAAATCAAGCAACAATGATTGTATCTGGGTAAAACTTTGCGTGAATAATCCGTTTAAAGTATGCCACCTTGTGACCAAAAATTGTCTAAATCGAATCAAAACTATTCAAGCCCCTAAGTACTAAATATGTGGACCCCAGTGCCTATAGTTGACCTTCTACCGAAAATATCAGTCAATCCACAAAGAAATCTCAAACGAGTATACCATTTGACTTTGCGAGAGTATAAAATGTTCGGTTACATCCGAACTTGTTTTAATAATTTTCATTTCAATCAGAGTTTAAACAAGTAAGAAAGAGATAAGTTCTGGTGTAACCTAACATTTTATAACAATTTGCAAAACTTAGAGGCGGATAAATACATTCAGGTGCCGAGAAACTCTTTTCTAAAAAATGTTACGTTAAAGTTCAATATTCATATTACAGTTCATAGACTCAGTAAGCTTCATTAGTACATTTTGTATATAAATAAACCTTTATTAGACTACTACTACTACCATATTTACCGTATTGACCCGCTTTATCTCTATTTAATACAAGGCTACATTGCTATTATCAGATAAAAAGTCTCTCTGAATTTCAATAATATACATATTTAGTATCTGGGAGCTTGAAATTTTATTATGCTATTTTGACTATTTTTTTCATTTTATATTACAAAAATCCGAAAATATGAAGCAGTGAATATTTATAAAGTCAGTTTTGTTTGGGAAAATTTGGACAGAGACACAAATGTCGAGAACATGTATTACAATATTTTTCGATAATAGTATTCCAGTTAACAAGTTTTTTAAGAACCAGCAGTAATCTGCCACATGTGACGACCCCATCACCCTCGATACCTTTCTTCCATCGCTTGTAGATTTTGAAAGAGAGTGGTTTCCTTATCACTCACTATAATTTCCTAAATCATCCGAACATTGTAGATTATCAACACAAAACTTTTCTAAGATTCAATTTTTATAACAGTCACAACTTTGATAACCTTAACTTTCCTTAATCGAGTTCTGTTAAGAAAATCACTTTGGCGTAGATGTTTCACTCTCCCCATCCACTTTCATAGGTAGACTGTACCGATTTCTGTCAATTTGCATCATTGTTTCTGAGAACATGAGATTTTCGTTTGAAACGAAAGCGAAGTTTTCATTGAGTAAAACAGGACATTTTGTGGACATAATATATCGCTACAGAATATAATAGTTTGGTTCACCTAACACTTGTTTGTATCACATAAAACTAATCGAGTTAGATATAGATTTATGTACCTATATATATGATCAGGATGAAGAGAAGAGTTGAAATCCGAGTGAATGTCCGTCCGTCCGTCTATGCATACTGTAGCTTGAGTCAAAATTTAGATATCTTAAGGAATATGTTTCTTTCCGTAAGACGATTGGTATTGCAGATGGGCGCCATTTATCAAAAAAAAAAAAAATGCCATAACTAAGCTACACAATAAGATACAATACTGTTATTTGGTATACAGGATCACATTAGAAAGGGGCATCTGCAGTTAAATTTTTTTTCAAAAGTGGGCCATGTCCCGCCCCTAATATATTTAATGTGAATATCTCCAAAACCGTTAAGATACAATAACAAAATTCACTAAGAACAAATGCTTTTAGCACCTCTATCGACAGTGTGAAAATGAGTGAAATCAATGAATTCCCCATATAACTGTACTGTTAAAAACTAATAAAAGCGCGATAAATTAAGCACTAAAGTCAGGGATGGTATAAGATGACTTTGTAGGAATCGAGTACAAAATTAAACAGTGGGCGTGGCACTGCCCACTTTTATATGAAACCCCATATATTATATTAGGATCTGCTCAACCGATTTCAACCAAATCTGGTACATAACATTCTTCTCATATTTATATGTTATAGTGCGAAAATGGGTGAAATCAGATTACAACCACGCCTTTTTCCCATATAACAGCATTTTAAATTCCATCTGATTCTTTCACTGTTACAATGATTGTATCGGGGTAAAACTTTGCGTGAATAATACGTTTAAAATATGCCACTTTGTGACCAAAAGTTGTCTAAATCGGATCAAAACTGTTCAAGCCCCTAAGTACTGAATATGTGGACCCCAATGCATATAGTTGACTTTTTACCGAAAATATTGGTCAATGTGTTAGATATTTAATTGAAATTCATATAATTAAATAAATAAATGAAACTCTCGATAATATTGTAGTATGCCTTTGTGTAAAAAATTAGTTTAATCGGATCAATACTTCCTTTAATATAAAATTTTGCCAACACCTGAAGGAATTTCCCGGGCTTTGATCCTTGCAAGTTGCGGGAGTATAAAATGTTCAGTTACACCCTAACTTAGAACTTCCCTACTTGTTTTAAATTAATTTTTAACCTTATGTTTGGTAACAGATTTGTTGCAATGAATTAACAAAAAACCGGTTTTTAAATTGATTTCCCATCTATATGAAAAAATAAATAAGGTAGAGTGAAAACTCATTCTATCTTGTTCGTTATTGTTCTAGAGTTAAGGCAGTTTGCACCGTTCAAGATTTGTGTTTTCGTGCACGTCGGTCAGTAGTTTCATCTTAACCTAACCCATCATAGAGTTTTTTCTGTTGGCGTAGATTTCTTCTTTCGAAAAATTACAAAAAAAGTTATCGAGATGAATTTGTACAAGGAAACCTCATTAAAGTGGTATATTCGCTACCTTCAATACTACCACGTATTGTTTTGCATACTTTTTATCAGTTTTACTATTGTGAATTGCTCAAATGATTAATGTCAAAAATTAAAATGCAAAGAAATTAAAACTTAAAACCAAATAAAGTTATATACAAAACTAAGGGATTTCAGGCACCTATTTTGACGTGGAAAGAAAAATGCGTCGACCAAAGAAATAATTGCAACACAATTGCGCATGCGTCAGAAGACATGTTCGCGCAGAGTTACACTACAAATACTGCCCGTTTACTTGAATATCTGGTATAGTTTGTTCGATTCCCTACCCTCCAATGTTATTCACGGACGGATAGTATGAAAATTTCTCGATCATTCCAACAAAAGCAAATTCACACAATTCAATAACTTTACAAAAAATACTGGTCTCGTGATTAAACCCACGAAAATATAGAATTTAAAGAAATATTCACAAACAATTTATTTATTTCTACTTAAGTATATGTTATACATACCAACATATTTTCTAGCTGGCTCAGGATAATAAGATATTCTATGAACTTCCTTGGCTACGTGACGTACAGGATTAGTTATCCTTTCAACATACGCATCAAGAACAAGCTTAGATGTTGGCTCGTAAGTATATCTTGGAATAAAGCTAAATATTGTAAGAACAAACGTTTTTGAACGGTACTTTACTTACCCCGTTACAGGAAATGGTGTGCAGCTACGAGCTCTGCGAACTGCCGGAGAATGGATATCACGGATCAACGACTGCGCTCTGTGGCGAATACGGTTCGTTTCATCCTGAAAATTCTGCAAATCAATTTGTTAATACATTGTAACACATCTACATACATATATATTTATATCTATACATGCCGCGCGTTTACTAGAATTTTACTAAAAAAATGTGTAAGTTTAAGATAAATTTGTTAAAAATGGAAAGTAAATGCAAATATGTACCAATAGATTAATTATTCAAGTGTGGTTATTTTTGCACGCAAAAAAGAGATAACAGCTTCGTTGTTTAATCTGTATTCACTTTTTATAAGCAATGATACTGTTAAAACAGGCAAGTTTTTTAAAATTTGAACACTCACGGCAAAGGGTTCAGTGTTGAGGTAATTGTTTAGAGCACGAGCGCCATATCCTGGTAATGTTCTCTTCAAATAGGATGGTGTAGAACGCAGAGAAGAAGTTGTTATCCTGATTGGAGGGCTCAGGGAGCGTGTGAACACACGAGATATGGGCGAGTAGTAATAAGATGGAGTGGAGTACACGTAAGTGGAGGGTGAATACGAGCTATAAGTGGTTGCTGGTAGATATGACGAGTTATATATATTCGGTGTTTTATAGGTGTATGAGATTGTACGTTCTGGTGAAGAAATAACCCGTGTAGTTGTGCGAACAACGCGTATTGGAGATGGTGAGTGTATAACACGTGTCACAACGCGAGCTGGGGAAGTTACAACTCGAACAGGTGAAGTAAAAATACGTGCTCCAGCGTATACCCGTTTTGGAATTGTGTACGACGAATATATTGGATAGGTCGTTTTATACACCTATATAATATTGAAATGTTTTGGTTAATGTGGATAACTTAAAATATTTAATTTTGATAATTTTAAATGAAAGGCGGGTGTATTAATTATATAAGTAATTGTTAAACATAATCACAGTAAGCCCTTCCTCTGAGGAAATAATATCCTCAAAATATTTATTAAAAGTAATTGTCACTGAAACTAAATAATAAGCCACGTCTAATCTACATGTCAAAAATAGTTTATTCACTTAATTATGAATTTGCTTTTAAACTAACCTAAATGTTAAAAAATTTGACTTCGACTATACTTTCCTTTCAATAGTTTATTCTCCTAATGATTGTTTTTTTCAGATGGGTGAAATCTTTATTTTCACAAATTTGTGTGGAAACATGCTCTGGAGTATGCTTGAATAATGACAAAATTTGTCGCAATCTATCTAAAATATCTATAATATAGTGACTTCCGATCATTTGGTTGTCTTTTCCTCATATGCGCAATATACAAGTATTACGTTTAGTCCCTTTAATTGAGTTTAAATTACAAATAAGTATATATATAAAAATTTTGGTCCCGAAGCAAAATTTTGTAATGAAACTAAGTGAGTCTTAAGTTAATAAGATATCAAATTTGATTGAAGTCCATTCGGTTATATTAAGCTTGCCACGAAGTTTGTAACACCCAGAAGGAAACGTCGGAGACCAGAGTTGATTTAGCCATGTCCGTCTGTCGGTCTGTCTCAATATATACACGAGCTATTCCCTCGGTTTTTGAGATATCGATTTGGAATTTTGCACACGTCTTTTCTCCCCGAGAAGCTGCTCATTTCTCCGTACCACCGATATCGGACCACTAGAGCATATAGCTGCCATACAAACTGCGATCGGAATTAAGCACTTGTATAGAAATCTTCTTAATTTGACGAAATTTCTTCACAAAATTTGGCATGAATTATTGTCTAAAGCAATGTTGCAGTATCGGAAGGAATTGTTCAGATCGGATCGCTATATCATATAGATATCATACAAACTGAAAGATCGGTACCAAGCCCTTGCCTGGAAAACTTTTTTATTTGACGAGATGTATCCACCAAATTTGGAATGGATTATTTTCCAAGACAATCTCCGCATAAATTGTTCAGATTGAGTCATTATAGCATATATATACAAACTGAACGATGAAAATCGAGCTCTTGTAAGGAATTTTTTTGTATTTGTGAAGGGTATTGTAACTTTTATAGATAGACTACATATATGATATAAACTTTTTATAGAAGTTGACATTTTTTTTGTAATATTCATGTCTTGTTAATATACAGTTTTTCCAATGCCTAAAAGTATTTCCCAAGCTTATATCCTTGAAAGTTACGAGAGTTAAAATTTTCGATTATATCCGAACTTAGTCCTTCCTTACTTGTGAACTTTATAACACTGTGCTAATCACAAACAAATAATTTTCCCAAAACAAAAGACCTCACGATTTCTCAAATTAAAATTACAACAACTAAAGAACAGCTAAGTTCTTTGCAACAATATAGCAATTACTCCCGCAATATGCCAAAATTAACAACCTGTGAAGTATATTATATATTGAGCTTTGTGATAAAAAAAAACACTATTGCGTTCTTTGAAGATACCAAATTAAATTCATCCATTCATTATATGTCACGTACCAACTTAGTTTCATTACGATATCCTGGAAAATAAAATAAACCCGGATATTACTTTCTAATATTTTTTTATAATATTATATATGTACGATATAATGGTTGGACGAGGTTATGATTTCCATTTTCACCACGTTGCACAATTACAAGGTAGGGGAATTCAATATTTGGATGAGATTTTCTGACATTGCTCTAATAAAATTAAATTATGTACAGGGCCCGCAAATTGACATTCGTAGACCAATTAGTAATCGAGTTCTAGCAGTTTATATGAATAAAATTGTTTCATGAATATAATAATGAACCTTGTTCAACCAATCTAATAAATTTAGTATAATGTTGTTTTCCTATTATCCTTTAAATATTTTTCATTATTCATACCTATTGTAGGTAACTAACAAACTAGGCATTTAATTTTCTAATATCGAAACTAAATATAATTTTAAAAATATTTTAATTTACAATATAAGTACACTATTTAAAATTTCTTTATAACCCGTTTGTATGTTATTGAATAAGAGTACTTACACGAGAGACCTTATGCTCCACCGGATACTGAAATAAAAATAAAGTTTAAAACTATTATTTAATATTTCATGTGCATTTCAATTATTTTTAGCTAATAAATATTTCATACCAGCGAAGACCATACACATATGTATATTATTTTAAATAATTTTACATATTTAATCAAATATAAAATTAAGGAAAAGCTAAGTCCTGGAATAACTGAGCATTTTATATTCTCGCAATTTGACAGTTGCAAATTTTTATATTTTTGTTAAAATCATCCGAAATATTTATAGCAAAAAGAACCCCACAGCATCCTTATATGAATGTGGGAGGATGAAAAGTTGATGATGATGTTTAACGTCCAATAACAGAAGAGATTTATTGCTAATTCGTTATGGCTTAAAAAATAATATGAATGTAATAATACAAAGTAATGGAGAACTAAAAACATTTGATAGTCAGAGTTGCCGTAATAATCCTATGAGGTTGCCACATATATATATGCGTGTGAATGTCATTTAATATTTTTCCTCCCACGGTCAATATACGTCGAAGTTTCAGAAACTATAACAAATTGTTTATTTGTATACTCTTGCAACATGTAGCTACAGAGTTGTGTAGTATTGTTTACCAAACGGATGTTTGTATCACCTAAAACTAATCGAGATAGATATCGAGTTATATATGTATATACATATGATCAGGATGACTAGACGAGTTGAAATGCGGGTGGCTGTTTGTCCGCGCAAGTTGTAACTTGAGTAAAAATTGAGATATCTTAATGAAACTTTGTAGCGTGTTCCTTGGCAAAAGAGAAAGTTCGAGTTCGTACATAGGCTTAACCGTACCACTGCCGCGCCCACAAAACGCCATTAATCGAAAACCTATAAAATGCCATAACTAAGCACTAAACTAAGATATAAAACTGTAGTTTGGTATATACGTGGCCTCGCCTTCTAATAGGTTCAATAAACATATCTCCTAAAACTAAAAAAACCAAATTGGCTTAGGATAAATTCTTTAAGAGCCCATACCGACAGTGCGAAAATGGATTAAATCGTACTATAACCTCTCCCTCTCTCCATATAACGGTTTTGTTAAAAACTACTAAAAGCGCGATAAATCAATAACTAAACGTTTCGGAAACATAAATATATAGGAACAGTTATCAAATTTAGATTATGGGCGTAGCACGGCCCCCTTAGGTTAAAACCCATATATCGGGACCTACTCGACCGATTTTAACCAAATTCGGTATGTAATATTATATTATCCGAATATGATAAATAATAGGCGAAATTAGACGAAAACCACGTCTACTTCCCATATAACACAATTTTAAATTCCATATAACTCTTTCACCTTCTAGTATACAAATCAAGAACCAATCAATATATCCGGTCACAAATAGTGCCCCCAGTGCGTATAGCTGACTTTTTGCCGAAAATATCGGTCAATCTGTGCGATATATTATTGAAATTCGGGAAAAACTTTTCTTTGATAATAATATACCCTTGGATCAAAAATGGGTTGAATCGGATCAATAATATTCTTAGCCCCCATTGTCTTCATAATATGATTAAGTGATTATGAACTTCTTAAAAAACTTAATATTACGAGAATAACTGTTTACCCCACTATTGATCGTTTTTCCAAAACGTCTACAATTGATGGCAGGAAGAGCAGGTCGTCCTCGCGTGGTTTGAATTCATTCATAAAAACTGTTCGCGAACGCATTCGCAGAATTCTCCGAAGAACAAAAAATGATTGCTCGACCAGATCAATGTCCAGACTTATTCAAGATTATCTCCACATGACAGCTTACCGTCGGTCAGCTAGTAGTCTTCTGACATTAAGCGCGTTGCGAATGCAAATTTCAATCAACAAATGCTGGCGACTTCTTCAGTGGTATGCTGTCAAATGCCATTAAAGTATCCTTTAAGGATTTTAAATCCTTTAAATAAAAAGGACTAAAAAAGGTGACTCTTTCGAATATAATTTTTTACGTCGTTTTAGTCAAGTACCAGCTTGAAATATGGCCTGAGGGGTATTGACCCTATTTTTTGAAAACACACAGTTATTAAAAAAACATGCTCTCTGAATTTCATGAAGATAACTCACTTATTCATCGATATTTACGACATAAGATCAACGCGAAGCCCGAAAATATTTATATTAGTATATGGTATATGATTTTACTCAGTTTTGATACGAGGACCGTTGTTAACACAAAAAGATTCTAGGCGAGTTTCAATAATATGTCTCACAGATTGACTCATATTTTTGGTATGCAGTCAGGTATAGCCTGTGAACTCCACATATTCGATATCTGGGGGTTTGGAAAGTTATGATCTGATTTTGGCTCCTTTTAAGCGTAAAAAGCCATATCTTGAAGACATTATTAGCGCAAAGTTTTATTCCACCGTTGACTTTCGAATATATACAAAATTAAATGGAATTTAAAATTGTGATATATTTATAAGAAGTAGGCGTTGTGGTAGACCGATTGCAAACACTATAATCATATTTCATATCTTATTAACTTATATTACAAGTTAAAGACTCCTTACCAAGATATAAGAGTAAAATCAGCCGGACGTTTCAAAAACTTCGCTAAATGAAGGCTTGAACGAATCTACCGAATTTGGTTGAAATTGGTCGGGTAGGTCTGGAGATATGTAATTTCATCTAAAGATGGGTGGTGCCACGCCCATCGTCCAATTTTGATACCGGCTCATATAAAGCTAATGTCTCTACTCATTTAGTTATTGATTTATCGCTTTTTTAGTCGTTTTTAACATAACCGTTATATGTGAAGTGGGCGGGGTTATCATCCTACTTCACTGTCGTAAGAGGTATCAAAATGATTTATCCTGTGCAAATTTGGGCGATATAGCTTAATTGGTTTGGGAGATATATACATTTAACCTATTGACCGGGCCGACTTTGTCAAACCCTTTAAAACCACAGATGCTTCTCTCTAATGTGGTCCTTTGCACCAAATGACATAGTCGTATCCTATTGTGGAGCTTAGTTATGGTAATTTATAAGTGTTTGGTTATTTGCTATTTGTGGGCGTGGTCCGATTACGCCCATTTGCAATACCAACCTTACAGTGCCCAGAAACATGTGTACCAAGTTTCATCAAGATATCTTAATTTTTACTCAAGTAATAGCTTACACAGACGGACGGATGGACGGACAGACAGACATTCGGATTTTAACTATTCCCGTCATCCTGATCATTTATATATTATATATATCTATCCCGATTAGATTTTGATGATAAAAACAACCACATGCGACATGTTGCAAGTGTATAAAAAAATTTCCTTAAATGGCAAATGCGTGATTTTAACTCAACGAAGAGGAAAAATTAAATATATTGGTTTTTTACGACAATTCATTCAAATTCATCGCTAAACCACAAGCCTAGAATTATCAGGAAAATATTTTCCCCGAATTTCAGTAATACATTTAACATATTGACCAATTTATCTTTGAAAAGTCACTGGAGACCACATCTTCGTTACCTGGGGGTTTAAACAAATATGGTTCGATTTTGACAATTTTTAAACTTGAAATGCCATACTATACATGAATGCCCTATTTGTATAGAGTTTTATCCCGATATATTCATTGATACTTTATTCGTACACTGTAAAGTGAAAGAATCATACGGAATATTTTTTTTTTTTTACATGGGAAGTAGAAGCGGTTCTGGTGTGGTTTCGCCCCATTCTGCACCGGGGCACTGAATTTGGCGATGGTTTGTGATATAGGCTCAGGCTTAGACCTAAAAGGGGCGAGGCCACGATCTTTTTTTTAATTTTCAGTCCACGGATGTCTCTTTTTCATTGCGATACTTTGTACCAACTGACGGAATCCTTGGATTCCAAATAATACGAGTACCAAGTTTCATCAAGATATTTAAATTTTTACTTAAGTTATCGCTTGCACGGACAGACAGTCACTCGGAATTCAGCTGAGTATATTTAGGAATGTAATTCTGTTTGTCCGTCAGTCTGTCTATATATGCATGAACTAGTCAGTTTTTTAGATATCTATCTAAAATTTTGCACACGTCCTTCTCTGCTCATTTGTTGGAACCGTGTAGCTGCCATACAAACTAAATGATTAAAATCATGTCTTTGCATTGAAACCCTATCTTCACAAAATTTGGAACGGATTATTGTTTAAGGTAAGGGTACAATCTTTGATTGTTTCAATGTTTCCCATGGTTCAGTTTGGACCACTGTAGCATATAGCTGTCATAAAAGCTGACCGATCGGAACCAAGTTCTTGTAATGAATCTTTTGTATTTGTGAAGGGTATCATAACTTTGGCGCAACGGAAGTTAAGGTTTTTTCTAGTTTTTCCTTTCATTTTTGTTTATTTTATTATATTGTCTTTGCGTTTCATCCTTTTATCAATAGATGTCAACCTGCTATGATTTTTTTTGTTTTCAAACATTATCTACCCTGGTCTAAAAAAAGCAAATTTAGGGTGTAAATTTTGGGCAAGTGATTTCGAACTGCATTATGAGCCCCTTCTTCTTTGTATGCCCAACTGGAAATATTTGTAATGCTTCAATGGTGTCTGCTTGCAGTACTCCGAGTATTCTATTGTATGTTCAAGACAATATCGTTGGTCGTTTTACTTTTCTCTTTAAAAATGGGCTATGAAACATATTTAATCTGTTGTTGAAACTTTAAACGCGTATTCCTTAAAACAACAACGTTCTTACGGTTAGCTCGGATGATAAAAAAATTTCTATCCAACCGATTGTGGTGAAACTTGAATATGTTATTCTACTGACAAATAGCTCTCGTAAGGACTAGGCTTTTTTTTGACTGCCAACTTTCCATTTTACAGCACGATTTCTACTTCAAAAATTTTACTTTTTTCGAACTCAACCATTTTTTTTATTTTTCAACGAAATTTTTTAAGCTATCTATCCAACCAGAATGTCAAACTCTCGGAATAATAATTTTTTTGATTTTGCTATTTCAGATGTCCTCAAGCGACCAAATCACGTCCTT